CAAAAAAGCTCACTGGCTTTTGCATTTGGATGAGAAGTTGGGAAAGAAAAAAGTACAAGAAAATGGAAAAAAAAATAACCCTTACTAAAGCAATACCTTGGCATGTCTGATCTCATGTTGCAACCCATGTTTTTTCCCTACAATGGAGATTTGTGCTATTGTGTGTGTGGTATAATTACTAAGACAGATTTTTTTTTTTTCTTAATAGCATAATAAATAGGATATTTCCTGGCCTGCTTTGCCTTTCCAATAGGATTTTCACTTCCCCTTTGGGTTCTGAGCGTAAGGAGAGTAAGTGTCAAAAGGCAGGAGCTTTCCCAGTTTTAAAACAGAGAGGGTGTAACCATGTGTAATGTGAGCCTTGAGTTTGATTGTAGGGATGATGAAATCAAATCCCTTCTTAATCCTTACTGGGAAACATTGAGGTGAATTAGCCTGCTTGGTTTTGTTAACTTGCTAAAATCCTCTGGAAAAAGAAATGTGTTTTAATGTCATCAAAAATATCTCCTTGCTTTACCTAACAGACCCCTGGACCATGTGCAGAGTGACCTCAGTGCAGTGAAAAATGAAGAAGAGGGAGGATAGATAAACCCAAATACATTCTTTGCCTAGAAAACCCAGTGTTTTGCCATATGCAATTATTTCCAGTGCTGCCATTTTTAACCTAGTTGCTTAGTCATTATTTATGATGGTATATTTCTTTAAAGTTCTGTATTTTGGGAAAAAATGGAACTTGTCTTTTTTTTTCTCCCTTAAGGTTAGTTAAAATAATATACAGTTGTCTGTGTGTATTGCAGTCCCTGTGCATGTACCAGTTAGAGTATTTTTGGAATATGTGAGGAAATTTACTCCAGTTATTTAATTTATAGCAAAGTATTAGCTTGAACTTGAGAAGAGCTCCCTGTTCACATCGTTCAGCTGTCCTGTGCAGTGGTTGGAGGCTTTTGATATTGCCATGACTTCACAAAAATATTTGACACAAGTTCATAAAATCACCGAGATTATTTTTTCTCCTTCCCAAAACCACATAAATTTTGTTAATTGATGATGTGTTCATGCAGCCCCCACACATGCACACAAAAGTCATTAAGGTTTAATTAATTCACTAAAAACAGCTAAACTATTTAAGGAGGAGCACCTTATAATTAATAGAGGAGAACGTGTTGTTCATTCTTGCCATTACTCAGATAGAGGGAAGCAGCTGGTCTGACAGTAGGCTTTTCCTGATGTGATTATACTGAGTTGCTTGGTGTGAAGGACAAATGCTGCTGGAGACTAAACAGAAAAGCATACTTTTTGAGTAGGTAAACGAATAAAATTATGTTTGTAGGAAGCAATGTGAACAGAAAGTGCTGTTTCCAAGATGGAGAAACGTGTCCAGAAATTCTGTCTCCACAAACTCCAGTCTTTTCTATTGCTGGGGTCCACGTCCATCTCACTTAAAACTAAGACACTCAGTGGATTCAGTCAAAGTGAAGGGTGGACAGATTAATCTTTCAGATGTGAATCTTGGCCTTGCCCACACAGGAGGCCTTCCCTTGGTCCCTTCCCTCCTAAGTTAAACTTCAGTGGGGTTAGTAGTGATTGGCCAAAGAGTCTCGCCCAGCAAATCCTCAAATCTATTATACCTTTCCATGGTCACTATGGGAATTTGCCTTTTCAGGCGAGGTTCTTCTCAGCTGGGAGTGCACTTTAACAACTCTATCTCCTTTATCTTGGTGCCCACAAAGCCTCATGCCTGTCCCTAGCTGCAGTGTTTTATTCAGAATTGTCAGTACTATCCCTACTTGCAGTCATTATATCAGAAATATCCAATATTACTGGCAGGGAGAGTGCATATGGCACCAGCTTGATCCGTTTCATAAGTGCTTCATCACTTTTACTGTGTTTCAGGGAAGCTGCATGAGAAAGCTTTTGTGAAAAACAGCAGGGAAAAATGGTGGTTCTCCAGCTTGTCAATTATTTGTTCTTTTCCATCCACCACTTGAGTTCTTGATGAAGGTATTATTTAATTCCTGCCTTTCTGAACCCTTACCCTTTGACAAATATGTTACAAGTTTGTATTTATGCACAACTGGGGTGCTTTAAGAAAGCTGTTTTTCTTTGAAGCTGAGTGACTAAGCCTGAGAAGTTTTCTTTCTCATCTCCTCCTGGTAGTTAATAGACTTCACAAGGGATCTCAAAACACTCTGATAAACCTTTGAAGTTGTTACCTACTAAGGTTTTGCTCTTTCTGAGTGCTGAACGTTGAATTACTGACTGCTGTTAGAAGCAATGAGAAAGGATTCACAAACCCGACAGAGCCTTGCCTATAATTTCCACAGAAAAAGAGCTGAATATAATGGATAAATTGTGTTGCTGGGGAGATTTTGATTCTGTTCCCTCCTCTGTCACCAGTTTGCCTTGTGATTTGTGGTAGCATTTTCAGTTATGCCAGTCACATGAGATCAAAACCTATGAGTCAGTCTCCACCCAAATCATGAGCCTGGCTTCCAGATCCCAGAGCTTTGAACAGAGATCATATCGATCATACTGTACTTTTTCTTTAGTTTATCTTTTGTTTTTGGAATTTCCTCTGCCTATTCCCAATGTGTCTCTAGCAATAAATGTTTCCCATTGCTTTGGAAGTGTTGAAAAGGAATTTTGACCATTTGGGACTGTTGGAGACCTCGTTTGATCTACACAATTTTATTTTTGATCACCAGGTCAATCTTATTTCTTCTAGATTTCACATCTTCTTCCTTTTCCCTATGATTTCTGCATCCTTTAGCCCCACAAAATCCATCACTTCTGTTTCTTCCTTGTCTTTCTCATTCTTCCAGGCACATGGTGAAACTCTTGGGGATGTCCTTTGCTAAGAGCTGGACTCAATGATCCTTGAGTCCAACTCAGAGGATTCTGTCATTCTGTGATTCAGCTGATTCAGTGATTGCGTGATTCAGCTTCTCCGTCCCATTTTAAGTCCTTTGGTCTGGAGATGGTTTTTCACCATTCCCTTGAAGGACAGAGAACATAAAAGAAGATGCACGTCTGGGTAACCCTTCATCTTTGCATGAGAATAAACAAACGTAAAGAGCAGGGAAATTGTGTTCCTATGTCTTTCCTGAAAAAGATTAAATTGTGATTTATGACTAAGACGGTGAAAAAATCAAGGGGAAGTTTGGTGTCATATCGCTGTTTTCTCCCATAGCATTTGCCTCTTTTCGGGAAGGGTAAGAAGTCAAAAGCTCCTGGCAATGGTTTAACAAGCTAAATCCAAATCAGAAAATGTGACTTTGCAGTAATTATGGCATGCATTATGGTGGTGCCTGGAGTTCCCATGGTGCCATTATTGCTTTGCCATGAAATCTGCAGAACAGAGCTAATGGTTAAATTAATGGAATTTTGCAAAACCAGGCTACTCACACCTCAGATAGATGGGAAATACATTCTCTCTTGCTCATCCTCGTGCCCTACATTCTTTCACCTACATGATTTGCTGATCCTTGCATATAACATGTGCCAGACATACTGCAGATCCATAATTTCAAGTAAAACTTCAGCCAGACTGTTCCCCCATATATCCAAGTACCTCTAGAGTCTGAGTGCTTGAAACTGAATCTGAATCCAGATCAAAACTCTTTATACAGCTCTGAACTTTGTGACAGGTTGTCTCTAAGCCTTGAATTCACACTCTCCCCCTAGTTTGGTGACAGGAAATGTGGAATTTGTTTTTAAACCCAGAATCATCAAAAGTTGCATTCAAGACATGAGAAAGATTCTTGATGTCCACCAAAAAATCTTTCGGCTGAATGTTTCACAGGCAAGGCTAAATTTGTAACAACTGGACATGTCTCAAAAATGTTTCTAGTTGTGCTGGGGATGTTTCACAGAGCTGCAATAATTAGAAGGGATTCGTTCTTTAAGACAGATAAATGCTACCTCACAGCTTGAATATTAATAAGAGAAAATTTATGAGAGCCAACAGAGTAATATAATATTGTCTCCAAAGGAAAAGGGCATTTATTTGCTTAGCTCTTTCATCAGCCGTTTTTGGACACACACAGTGTTTAAAATACAGTTATGCAATCCATGTGGGTCAACAACGGAAGATTGGTTGCTTCACCAGGATTATAAGAATCTTTTAAACACAATGGTACCACAAATTAAAATGGAAATCTATCAAAACAATTATCGTCCTGAAAGCCTTGGCCACAAGCATAATCATTGTAGAAGGATGTTGTCCTTGGCCAAAGCTTTGGCACAGTTCAGCTGTTGTTGTTTGTATCCTTCCATGGCTCATAGTTAGAATTTGCATGGCTAAGGACCATAAATTTTTAGAGGAAAGCATAGGCTGTTCCTCAATGCTAACACTAGCAATTTTGTATTGTTGTGTAGTGGTTTGTAGGCAACTCATTAGATACTAGAGATAGGAACAGACTGAATGTGGTGGTTGAAACCTACCTTGAACCTTGGAAGAACTCAGATGGGGATTTCTGTCTGGACCTGGCTGTTTGTGTCTGAGGCAATCATTGATGTCAACAAGAATGAGTCAATGTCCTGAGTTTTTGGGTTTAGCTCTAAAGTACACATTTTAGATAGTAAAATAGTGAAGTAGATATTGATATATCAATATATTTATCTGATATAAACTTCAGTCTACAGACTTAAATAAAGCAGAAATCAGGTCCTGAGTGTGTCCACCCTGTCCATGAGGCAGGTGGTTCTGTAGGGATGAGAGCAGTTGCAAGAACACCCTGGATGTTTCTTGCCATCAGCAAGGGACACATCTCCTTAGAGATGTCCTCAGGAGAGGCTCCATGTTTCATCCTTGAGCTCCTGACAAACGCTGAATCCTGCAGTAACTCCATTCTTGTGTTGATGATAAACTATATTAAATAACAAGCACTGCTGGTTATTTTTAAAATGCTTCTTTTTCTTTCACTATCCAATTTTCTGCATTGAGGGAGGTAAATGAGTGACAAGTCTGAAATCCATTTTTCTCTCTTTCTGTTCCCCAGGCTGGTATAGATGGAGAAAGCATTGGGAACTGCCCGTTCTCCCAGCGTCTCTTCATGATCTTGTGGCTCAAAGGAGTTGTATTCAATGTCACCACTGTTGACCTGAAAAGGTAAAAATTGTTCATTTTAATTGAAAATTGGTGTATGACCCAGTGTATGCACTATAGAAAGACCCCCTCCAAGTTAAATCAGATTTTTATCTAGCCTAGAGAGCCTGTGGTGCACAACAAAATAGTTTGGATTCAGGTTTGGTTGTTTTTTTTTTTTCCCTCACTTGTGGAATGTTTTTATATTAAACAGGGTGCTTGGGGTAGTTTCAAAGTCTTCCAACCACAAATTACAGGAGAGAAAAAAAAAAAGGCAGACTGATTTTGTAGGAACTATAAATATCTGTGCAACTACCCGACCATAAAGATTAGTGATTTCACGACTTTTTCTCTGCTTGCAGAAAGCCAGCTGACCTGCACAATCTGGCTCCTGGGACCCACCCACCTTTCCTGACATTTAATGGAGAAGTCAAGACAGATGTTAACAAGATTGAGGAATTCTTGGAAGAGACTCTTGCACCTCCAAAGTAAGACCTTCAGTTTTTTTTTTCAGTCAATATTCCATTTCCTAGGAATGAAAGATGTCCTAAGAAGAGTTCCTAAAAAGCACTCCTTCCTACAACCTTTACTTACAGGAGTAATATTTATTTATGAAACTTGCTGGCTTCAGTGAGATGACTTCCATGTGTGAAGGTTACTTATGTGACTAATAACTGCAGAATGTTTTCTCTGTACACATTTCAGGATGCCCTTGTATGCAGAATTAAGGAGACCAGAACTAGAAAAAAATTGTAGGGGTCTGGTGGCCACATTTTGCAAAGCTAAAAATAACTTGGAATAGATGCTGAGAATTGCCACACAAAATATCTGTGCCAGGAAAAGCATTTTACAGTGAAAAAATAGAGGTTTCTGAGCTGTATGGTGTGTTAGGAAGGTTGGAAGGGAAACTGATTACAGAGGACAAGAGAGGCTCTGGAAGCAGAAAAGTGCTCATTATTCTAGTCAAGAAATGACAAGAGCCCATAACTGAAAGTTATAACTAAACTAATTCAAATTAGAAATAAGGCCCAGATTTTTTCAGTATGAAAAAGCTACCAATGAAAGATTTAGATTTACCAGATATGCCTTCCTTAGTCAAACATTTTGGACTTAATACAAGGATAACGGAAAAAAAAGAAATAGTTGGCTTGTGAGTTGGACCTTAGAATCTATGAATCCATCAAATTTGGCTTGGTTCCTTGTGGAGAATTTTACCTCCAAGTGAATCAGCAGCTAAAGGCCAGTCCTGAGGCAAGAGATCAGGCATTTAAATTTTCTGTATTCTGCTCCAAGACCACTGAAGTCGGTAGGAGTCATTAGTTTGTGTTTATCTTTCAAACCAATATATCCCTTTTCACCAAATATCTATAAAAAGCAATGCAGAGACTGGAACATTTATGTTCCTTCACTGGGTTAATCCTAACACCCCTTGCTATTCCATCCTGGAGTACATTTCCAGAGTAGAGGATTAGACACGACTGCCATTCTTAATGGAGGGATCTGCCTGCCAAACTCCCCTGCACCTTTCTGGAAATATATGCTTCCTTCTGATTTAAGGCTGATTTTGGACTGTGGTTGCAAAAAACACAAGTCCAATTACCTTTGTCTTGACACTATCCCTGTGTAGCTCCCCACATGCCTGCCTTGACAGACAGAGAGCAGATACTGTTAAGGGGTCTTTCAAGGTGTATTTTCAAGGTGTAAGGGGGTATTTTCAAGATAATGAGTGTTAATTACAGTTCTTCACACAGGAGGTTATTCTCTCTTGTAAGTTATATTTGTAGCCACCACTGTGATGCCGGTCACAAGATGTTACTCTCCCCACTGCTTTTGCCTGTCCAGGTACCCAAAGCTGGCTGCTAAGCACCGGGAGTCAAACACTGCTGGAATCGATATCTTCTCCAAATTTTCTGCATACATCAAAAACACCAAGCAGCAGGATAATGCTGGTGAGTATGGCCATTGCCGAATGTGCCAGGGAGTTTGTGTGCTTAGAAGTGGAAGAATTTTGCCATTCTCTCATTATTTTGTTGTAAAATTTGTTCAGATGACATCAGGAACCGCTGCTGATCAGCTTGAGGTGGTTGGTTAGGTGAACTCAACTCACGTGTCTCCACAGTTGAATTAAATACAATCTGTAGTAGTAAATAAAAGAGCCACAGAGTGTTTGGTATCCTCTTTACCAACAGCCATGGCACGACTCCTGTCCATAGCCCAGTTTCCTTGCCAGAACAGGATCCCCAGCTGCTTATTGGAAGAGACTGGTGGCCTGTGCTACCTCCTTCTTTCCCCCAGCTCTACCTAGATGAGTGTGTGTTGGCTGGACCCAAACCTGTGAGAGCAGCTCACGCTTTATTAGATGTTGCCATTGGGCACTTGGCCATCTTATTTCATGATTATGTTACACTGTTATAGCTAATTTGCTCATATAAATGCAGTTATATTGAGACATTCCATATAAAGTAATTAAAAGAAAGAAGTGAATTTAAGAAATGTAATTGCATTCTGTAAGCTCCAGATTTTCCTTCACATTTGTTTATGAAAAGAAAGAGTCCCCCAGAAGCCAGATGCCATTCATATTTATATGCATCCCACACTGTCTTCTTAATAAAATTGCTGTTCTTCTCCACATTTCTTTCCCATCGGAGACGCAAGACTTCAGTGAGTCTGAGCTCCTCTTGCTCCATAAAGCTGTGGATTTACACATCCCTATCCCTTGAGATGACCTAGTAGAATGTTTCTAGTCATTCACTGATGTACCTTCTCCCTTATGTTACTGCTTTCACAGACAGAGACGTAAGGCATGTTGAATTCCATGGATTTATATCGTATCATTCAGAAAACACTAGATTTTGCAGGTTCCAGCTCTGCCACACATTTCATCTGTGCAATTATATTTCATTGCCTGGGGCTGACCCATGAGATAAAAGTGGGTAGATGATGATTTATGTCAGATAACAATCTCCTCTGTAATATTTTTGTGGTGTTAACAGAAGGAAATAATTACAGTGCTTCACTTCTCAGTGATGCTAAAAACTTGGGTTTTTTTTTTGTCTAATGCTAATAGGATGCTCAGCTAATCTTTATAGGAAGTTGTAAAAGGAAGATAAATTAAGAGTTAGAGTAAATAGGTGTAACAATGAAAGTAAAATATCTTGGCCATTTACAAGGAAGTTTTATGGTCTGCTGTGCAATTCTAAATCTTCAGCTGTGCTGCCCCACATGCACAGTCTCAACTCTTCTTTCTCAGTGACTGCAATATTCAAATCCCTGGGCTCACAAGAGTTGGCATCTCCAGCCAGGAGTAAATGGTTGTCCTAGAGGAGTCTGCATGTGGCCATAAGCAGAGCTGGAATTCAAGGTCTGATGTCCACTATGGTGAGATAATGAATCTAAACCCGCACAGCACTCCACATTTTCAGAAGCTGCAGTATGATCAAAGAGAGCTTTACCTAGTTCTGCATAACAAACTCTTGGTTTAAGTACTCATGTAAATGACAATTAAGCACACCAAAGTTTTAGAGACAAGAGCTGTTAAGCTGCAGGAGAGACACAATCTTTCCTTCCTGCAAACATCCTCACTCACTTTTCGTTACCTGGTTCCTGCTCCTGTCTTATCCAGACACTGCAGTCTCTGAATGTACTGATGCTTAACTTTCCTCTTCAAAGTAGAGAAAAACTTTTAGCTTAATTTTATTACAGCTGTAGTGCTGCTCTGCAAGTAGAATAAAGCGGAGATGGGCAGAGTAGAACTGGATCTTTCTATGTTTCTATCTTTCTAACTGGATCTATAACTATGTTCTTTCTATCAATGAAGTAAGGGCCCTGGAATGGTCAGTACAGACCTCAATTTAAGCAGAGTAATTGACTGTCCGTTTTCAAGGGCTAAGGAAAAATAATTTCTCCCTAATCCCAAGGATTTTTTCACTTTCTGTCCAGTTCATCTGAACAACAGCAGTTTTTCTGAAGGCTGATTTGGATGGAGGAGAATGAGTTAGTCAAAAAGTAGTTGTGTAAAATTTCTGGAGCAGTGGAAGGATTGTGTGCAAAGAGGAAAGGAGAGCAACACCATGTACATGTTTCCTAATCAACTTATTTATTTTTGATTGGTATTTCATAAATTCTTTCTTATAAAATTGCAACACTGATTCAAAAGGGATCTGGGGCTCTAGCCCAGATCTGGTAGATATAATTTTACAACAGGTCCTGCTGCATTATTCAAAATAATAGAATGGAATCACAGAATCCTAAAAGCTGGAAAAGACCTTGAAAACATCAAGTCCAACCTTTGATCACGACCCTGTCAATTAAACCGTATCACTGAGTGCCATATCCACTCAATTCTTGAATACTTCCAGGTTGGTGGCTCTACCACCTCCCTGGAAAGCCCATTCCAATGCTTAACAACCCTTTCAGTGACTAAATTCTTCTTGATGTCCAGCCTGGCCTTCCCCTAGTACAGCTTGAAACTTTCTGCTGAAGTAAATAGTTTTTATATTGTATTAATATTATAGTCTATTATATTTATATGTTAAATAGATTTTATACATTCATTTGTATATATTTTAATGTTATATTTGTATATTATTATATTATATTATATTATATTATATTATATTATATTATATTATATTATATTATCATATTT